ACAAAAGATAGTCTCATTGTCATTGATGTGCTGAGCGAATCTATTAGGCAAACTGCTTTTCAACTACATAGGTCCGCCCTCGCTTTACGGGAGGTTCCAAAATATCTTGAGTGAGTCATGCTTTGTGACATTAACACGTCTGTGTACAGGAGAGGTAGATATTAACGAGCTTTCTATTTCGCCCGAGTGCCCTGTAGGTAGTGGCCGTAACGGTTATCTTAAATCTATAAACTCAAACCAGATATTGTAACATCGGTTGGCTGGGCTCTCACTGATCTTCTGCTGTAAAAGTATTTATAACATGGGTGGATATAAGTGTATGGTGGGGAATTGATAACTTGCCACTAAGTAGCAAGGGGTTCCGGAAATAAGAGCAACAATAACTAGCTACCAAATATCTAACCACCAATGGGCTAACTTCGGCTGGTTTCGGCACTCTTCGGAATCTGCCGACTGGTTGATCAATTTCCCGGAAATGGCCTATCTAACCACATTCCTAACTACTGAAAATGTCACCAACGTCCTAGATACTGCAAATAGCTTACCACATTTCTATATATCGAATATCTAACCACATTTCCATGTACCGAATATCTTTCCACATTTCTTTATACCGAATATCTTACCACATTTCTATATACCGAATATCTCCCCACATTTTCGTATACCTCACCACATTTCTATAAACCGATTATCTTACCACATTTCTATATACCGAATATCTCACCCCATTTCTATATACCGAATATCTTACCAAATTTTTAGTTACCGAATATATTACCACATTCCTATAAACCGAATATCTCACCACATTTCTATAAACCGAATATCTTACCACATTTCTGTATGCCAACTATCTTTCCCCATTTCTATATACGGAATATCTTACCACATTTCAATATATCGAATATCTTTCCCCATTTCTATTTACCGAATATCTCACCACATTTCTATATACCGAATATCTCACCACATTTCTATATACGGAATATCTTACCACATTTCAATATATCGAATATCTTACCACATTTCTATAAACCGAATTTCTCACCACATTTCTGTATGCCAAATATCTTTCCGGATTTCTATATACCGAATATCTCACCACATTTCTAGTTACCGAATATCTTACTATATTCCTAGTTACCAATTCTTCTTGTTACTACAAAGCGCTATTTTATGTCATTTGTATGCATTGACTACTTTGGTTTTCTTTGCTGTGTGATGCAACAGATCTGGTGTGATATCCGGCTATGCTTGGATGTAGTCGTTAGCTCCATGCCTGATCTGGTCGTGATATACGGCTATGATTGGATGTAGTCGTTACATGTAGCTTCATGCCTGATCTGGTCGTGATATCCGGCTATGATTGGATGTAGTCGTTAGCTCCATGCCTGATCTGGTCGTGATATACGGCTATGATTGGATGTAGTCGTTAGCTCCATGAGGTTGAAATATCATTTATCATCTACCTTGACACCGGTGACAGTGAGCATCGCTTATTACCGTATGTAATGGTCTTACACAGGGATAAATACACTCACTATCGCAGGGTCTAGTGTTGATCATCGGTTCTCGAGCTCTGTGATTTGTTAAAAATGGATGCATTGTGATTACTAATTAGCTTTCCTCATAGTCGTTAAATGTCTCTGAGCCTCTAACATTGATAAGTCATACAGCTGCCCGTGTCTAAATCAGTTCGTAATAGTACAATCACCTGGAGGCTTAGCCAAGTACCATGGGAATAAACCTATATGCCATTACAGGTACAGTAGTAACATTTGAGACGTTGCCTGCTTCGTCTCAATAATGATGTTTATTTGAGGATGAGGCATGCCTCCGAGATCAAAGCAGACAAAACGACGCGTGTTTTACAGTGACGAATCTACACCTTTGTTTTTCCATTGGTCCTTTTCAACTGTATTGGCAAAAACAATGGGCCCGACAAATTTTGTTATGTCAAGATTTCTACGAGTCTACGAATTCTATGAGCACAGGACTAGGACTCATATGTAGGTTTATCATTTGTTCTATGAGTCGACATTACGTGTACGTACTAGGATAGCACCAGATGGGATCAGATGGAATAACGTCAGCTTATGTACTCCAATGTAAATTACCCCCCTTTGTGTGAATACAATACATTACAAATTATAGAAGAACAATACCCCGTGTTGAGCAGGCGATTGTTTTCAAATAGATTGCTCGAGGAAGACTTCTTCTCTCATTTATTGAAGCGTTACTACATTGACTTGCCTCAAAACGGCACAAGGTACGGGCATTGAGGTTCAGCGGCCGTTGCGCGAAACGGAGGAAGTGGAGTTTTGTACCGTGAAACTTGTGCAGGCCTTTATCCTTTCAGCACACTATATACACCAGATTGCGATGTAAATGTAGTCACATTGAAACCTTCGATCTCAGTTATTGCTATGTCTGAAAATAACCGTTACATATGAATATGTACGTAGCGCCATTTTGGATGCCAGTAACTGTACTACGTACATTGTGCTCAGTTTGGCGCGATAAATATTCTTTGGTGAAAATCAGAAACACGTGCCAGAGTAATGAAATAATGAAGCATAAAGAGAGTTAAGACGAGCCTGGATATAATGACTCCCTAGAGCTCCCTCCTACTATGTTATCTCAGAGAATGGGAAGTAGACAAATAAGAACGTTAACAACTAGATCTCTGACTGGACTGGCATTTTTCATAACGTGTACAGACCAGTTAGCTAAAATACAAACATACCAGAAATCATACCAGTGCATGAACAGAAAAATGTTGAATAAGTAATTGATATTTCACTAAAAATCTTGCAATACCATTAATCAAACCAAATATCAGTATTAAGTGTACAACGATATGTAGTATATTGTGGTATACAGTGGTATATAGTGTATGGTGGTATGTAGTGTACAGTGGTATGTAGTGCACAGTGGTATGTAGTGTACAGTGGTATATAGTGTACAGTGGTATATAGTGTACAGTGGTATGTGGTGTACAGTGGTATGAAGTGTACAGTGGTACGTGGTGTACAGTTGTATGTAGTCTACGGTGGTAGATGGTGTACAGTGGTATATAGTGTACAGTGGTATATAGTGCACAGTGGTATATAGTGTACAGTGATATGTAGTGTACAGTGGTATGTGGTGTACAGTGGTATGTGGTGTGCAGTGGTATATAGTGCACAGTGGTATATAGTGTACAGTGATATGTAGTATACAGTGGTATATGGTGTACAGTGTTATGTGGTGTACAGTGGTATGAAGTGTACAGTGGTACGTGGTGTACAGTTGTATGTAGTCTACGATGGTAGATGATGTACAGTGGTATATAGTGTACAGTGATATGTAGTGTACAGTGGTATGTAGTGTACAGTGGTATGTGGTGTACAGTGGTATATAGTGTACAGTGGTATATAGTGTACAGTGGTATATAGTGCACAGTTGTATATAGTGTACAGTGATCTGTAGTGTACAGTGGTATGTGGTGTACAGTGGTATGTGGTGTACAGTGGTATATAGTGTACAGTGGTATGTAGTGCACATTGGTATGTGGTGTACAGTGGTATATCGTGTACAGTGGTGTGTGGTGTACAGTGGTATGTTGTGTACAGTGATATGTAGTGTACAGTGGTATGTGGTATGTGGTGTGCAGTGGTATATAGTGTACAGTGGTATGTAGTGCACATTGGTATGTGGTGTACAGTGGTATTTAGTGCACAGTGGTATATAGTGTACAGTGATATGTAGTGTACAGTGGAATGTGGTGTACAGTGGAATGTGGTGTACAGTGTTATGAAGTGTACAGTGGTACGTGGTGTACAGTGTTACGTGGTGTACACCACGTAACACTGTACAGTGGTATGTGGTGTGTAGTGGTATATAGTGTACAGTGGTGTGTGGTGTTCAGTGGTATGTAGTGTACATTTGTATGTGGTGTACAGTGGTATGTGTTGTGCAGTGGTATATAGTGTACAGTGGTGTGTGGTGTTCAGTGGTATGTAGTGTACATTTGTATGTGGTGTACAGTGGTATATCGTGTACAGTGGTGTGTGGTGTACAGTGGTATGTTGTGTTCAGTTGTATGTAGTGTACAGTGGTATGTTGTGTACAGTGGTATGTGGTGTACAGTGTTACGTGGTGTACAGTGTTACGTGGTGTACAGAGGTATGTAGTGCACAGTGGCATGTGGTGTACAGTGGCATGTGGTGTACAGTGGCATGTGGGGTACAGTGTTACGTGGTGTACAGTGTTACGTGGTGTACAGTGGTATGCAGTGCACAGTGGCATGTGGTGTACAGTGGCATGCGGTGTACAGTGGCATGTGGTGTACAGTGTTACGTGGTGTAGTGTTACGTGGTGTACAGTGGTATGTAGTGTACAGAGTTACGTGGTATACAGTGGTATGTAGTGTACAATGGTGTACAGTATATGTACTGTATAGTTGTATGTAGTCTACGGTGGTAGATGGCGTACGAATGAACGTTGAGTAAAGTGGTTAAATTATAGAAGGGTTTACACTGGCAGTTATGTATAATAGCTGTGTTGATCATTGGAAACCCCACTAAGTCCTGTCGGATGTACACATGCCGATCGATGACGGCACCAATGTTAAATGGTAATACATGCGTATGGCTTTATTTTCACAGATAGTTTCCGTTGTGTTCAGTTGGTATTGGTATTTACATTACATACATCAGTCAGTCGTCAACCTCCATTGCACTTTTTAACAATATTATTGTTAAACCATGATGTTATTAAATTGACCCATACACCAGACCGATGTAATATGTGCAAGTTGTTTTTACCAAAGGTGCTGAGCCTACGTAACATTATTATATGAAGCCGTTTTCCCTTTTTACAGTGATCGTTGTAAACATTGTGATGCATTTTTATGAATTGCCAATCAAAAACCCCTCGTTAGGCCGCGTGTGCCGAGCTCCTGGCGGAGGTCGATATTTGTACAGGCCGATAACCGCTGTCCTTTTATTCCACAGAACCATATGCTGAGGCAAGGAAGGAGCAACAGGGAGGAAAACACCAGTTGCTGTCAACATGGCGAACACCAGCGTGGCCACAACAATGGCTCCGAATGCGACCCTTGACAATCCGAATTCAACAGCATATACTCTCTACAATTACAAGTGTTCAAACAAAGGCATACTCTTACCCGTTATTAACGAATTTACTTGGTCCGAGAGTACCAGAGCCGCCCTGTACTTTATAGCCATGCTGTGGTGTTTCCTTGGAGTCTCCATCATTGCAGACATTTTCATGTGCGCAATCGAACGTATAACCAGCAAGACGACTAAGGTGAGAATCCCAGATGAAGGCACGCCAGAAGGTTACCGAGAGCTCAATGTCAAAGTCTGGAATGACACCGTAGCCAACCTGAGTTTACTTGCGCTTGGTACGAGTGCTCCAGAGATCCTTCTCTCCGTCATAGAAGTCGTTGGCAACAATTTCCACGCTGGACAACTCGGTCCAAGCACCATTGTGGGATCAGCGTCTTTTAACTTGCTTGTCATCTCAGCCATTTGCATCTCATGTATTCCGGAGGGGGAAGTCCGCAAAATGAAAGATTTGAAAGTGTTCGCAGTAACCAGCTTCTCGTGCGTATTCGCGTACGTGTGGCTGGCCATAGTTCTGATCGTCATATCCCCCAACATTGTGGAGCTGTGGGAGGCCATTATCACCCTCCTCTTCTTCCCCTCCCTTATCTTCATCGCCTATCTGGCTGACCGAAACTGCTGCAGGAAGCAGGAAGACCTTGACTCTTCAGGAATGGTCGGCATCTCACTGGGTAAGTAAAATATCATATAATTTACCTAATATATATAGCTAAGGCGTATGTCTATCTTATTATCTACATTAAGTTACGTTGTCCGCGTACTCATCCAGTTCACAAAAAAACACTTCGTGTGTAGTATTTATTCCACAAGTATCACTCCTTCCATTCATTTTGCATGTTTTGTATATGAAAGTTTAATAATTTTGTTTGCTTGTATACACGAACTGACCCTGACATGACTTGAGAAGTAAATTATAAAATGGCCTACTTGATTTGATAGAGGATCGGAAGAACCCGGAGGAGGCCATGGCCCTGGATAGTCGTGGCTCGGGAGATGCGTCGCTCATGAACCTGGCAAAGGTAATATATAATAAAGTTTCCATGTAAACCTAACGTTATCGCAAGTAATGCTTATTTTGTTTTCAACACAATCAGTGATTATAAAACTTTTCGGTGAGGTTTCGAAAACGTCTGTTTCCTTTGTCAAGCAAAAAGTGCAAAAGTTATCTTGATTGAATGCATAAATGTACGTTCTGTTTCTGTTGGGCAAACAGTATTTTTGACGAGGGGATCTCTATAGTTAAGCCACTCAATATGTTCTATACGTCCATTGTATGGTTGCTGTTATTTGGGATTGATGGTACAGTGTAAAACCCAGTATAAACTATCCATGATGCGCGATGACTCATTCGGGAGAATAGGTTTGTTAGCAACCAGGTTTACGGGTTTCAGTCCTTATATTTACGTTATCAACAAATCAAACAATCTTTCTGTTGATTTTCTTTTGATTCATAATACATTTTAAACAAAATAATTTACTAAAGAAAGGTTTTTTATGCTTATCGCATCTGTCAGGTGGCAGTTTCCGGCAAAGTTTTCATTAGATTAATTTATTAGTACTCGATAACTCCAACAATATGATAGCAATAATTAACCAGTAATGGCTCTGCTGTTGTGCTTCGATAATGACATAGGTTGATAGGTTTATTTAGAGGCTATACAACGTGAATTTATATATGCTTGAATACTATGGATGTGCCGTTTTTGCCTTATTGAATATGTGCTTTTTTGTCATTGAATGTGTGCATTTTTGTATTGAATATGTGCTGTTCTTTAATTGAATACGTGCATTTTTCTAATATGTTCCATTTTTGTACAATTATTGTGTGGTATCTGTTTAAAGAAGTAACAGGGATAATTGAGTCATGTAAGAGCACGTTCTGAATAAGTTAACAAAAATGTGTTTTCTGTATATAATGGGAACGTTTTTACAATCTTTCTACACATTTGTGTCATTAGCAACATCATTATTAATAACACTATGTCGTTACAGGAGCTAGGACACGAGGCTCGTGAAGATGGCATACCGGAAGATCAAGCTGCTAAATTAGCCGCTGCAAAAATCGCCGAGAATCAGTCACATGATCGTCTATGGTACCGAATCAATGCCACACGTGGGATTTCGGGCGGCAAACGTTTGGTGCCACATGTCCTGACGTCATTCCAAGGGGTAAGCCACCCACAAAATATTCCTAGTGTGGCCAAACTGAACCGTTGAATATACATTTCTGTCTTCAACTTGTTCAAACATAAACTTTTTCTAAACTTCACGCCAAATAAGCGTCAAAGACTTAACGTGATTTTACTGTTAGTGACGTTATTGTTGTGTCGTCACAATGGGATCTATTATTACCGATCCACTACACAGGCTTATAAAGGATCAACACGTGACCGTCTCCACGTAGAAATGATTGGCAATTTTTATTTAACGTTGTTGAAATGTCCTTAATACTTTAATACAATTTCAATGGCATGTCACCGCGAGCAGGAATCAATCAATCGAGATTTTGGGGTGGTCAAAAAGCTTCGCAATCGATACGACATGTAAAAACTTTAAGATTGTTACAAGTAGGCAGATGGCGCCACAGGTCATATCATGCAACAGTAACATTTCAGCTTCAGCAGTGAATATTTTATAGTTGTTGACACGAGTTGAGTGCAACATGTGCTTTGTTAAACCCAAGCCCAAACTGTTACTGGACTGCTACTGCTTGGCAGTGGGTTTAACAACACATCCTGTTGCCTCTACTCAAATCCGGAAAAAATCAAGGTAATTGTTACACCAGTCGTACAATTAATCGATGTAATAATTCAACCATGAACGTGAACAGCTTTGAAGTAGATTCTTTTCTCATTTCAAACATTTCGAAATCATATTAACTTGTTTATGACGACATCGTTTACACAGGCAAAATTTCTTGACGGCACGTTTCTGTCAAATTCAGGGCAGAATTGACCTCAATTTGACCTCAATTTGACCTGAACAAATCTTTGTCAATTATATCATATCAGGTAAATTTCAGCTCAAATTAAGGTTAATTTAGGTCAAATTCAGCTAAATATTTGCTATCAAATTGATTTTTTTTTAGGTCAAATTGTCTTCCAATGTTTCCTCTATAACTAGAGGTGTATGGTATGATACAACGTAGTGGACATACAATTTGTATTATGTAATTATCAACTAAATAGATAATAGACGTGTAAACGTATTGATATTATTTTGTCACAGTTTATGTGTGATAAGACATGTGACAATCAACTTTTCTGTTGTTAAGTCCTAAGACCAAATCTACAATGGTCTGAAATAGGTACTAAAGCACTAAACTAAGCTATATAGCATGACAAAAAATGTATTTTATTCAATTTCATATATCGCATAGGATTGATAAAATTATGTAAAATTATCATTTTAGCAAATCAGTGGGCAAGGCTGAAATGAAACTTCCAATTTCATGGCTAACACGAAAGTGAAACTAGTTCAAGAGAATTTGGCAGTGTTGTATATTGCATCCTCATAGCTGAATGTAGTATCAAATCGCCTGTACAATGTAATTCAATTCAGTACCAGCTATTTTATACATTTATATATATTGTTCGTAATGCATGGTACTATATAAAACATGTTGTAGATATTAGAATTGTTAATAAAACATATTCGTATCAATTTTAGATCTACAATAACATTCGCCTACCGGAGGAGGAACGAAAGAGTCTAAATAAAATCGACCATTCTGAGGGTGGATCGAAGGCAGTTGTGGAGTTTACCTCGGCCACAGTGTCGGTGTTGGAGAGTGAGAAAAGAGTTCGTGTGGGCATCAGGCGATACGGCAACACAGACAAGCCATTATCTGTCAGGTACAAATTCCTTTAGTACGCCTTAGAAGTTAGTGAGATTTTAGAAGTACCTGTTAGCTTATACCAAGGTACTGCAACCGTCGTTTGTCGTCAATTATTTTTCTTTACACGACCATAAGATACAGTCTAGTGTAGCTTGTTCAAACACTCGACCGACTTCTGGTGAGCTAAGAGGCCTATTGTTTACTGATTTAAGGAACCGTCAACTTTGTTCCAATAAATCACCTGTAGCTATGTGCGAAGTAACCGTAGTCAAATGTAATAAAATGTTCAAAAACTTCTTCAAATGAACCACGGGGCTAAGAATAAAGCAAGTTGGCTGTTGTGTTTCGTGCTGTGTAGGGAATTTATAAATAAATCAACTTTGCCGATATTCAAGGTTACGGATCAAACGTGTCAAAATTTCAAACGGCTTCCTGATAAATCGGGTCAAGGGCAATGGTCATGCTGTTTTGTTCGTAGCTTACTTGGGTAAATTCTTAATATTCAGTTTTTAAGGACCACAATTCATGCAGTAACGTTCTTAAGCCTGTAGTTTGCAGTGATGAATGACTGCATAAACAAACCACTGTTCCCCTTGTCCACGGTCACAGGGGTCAGATATGTTGAGAGCTTAAAAATATCAAAAACTGCAATGTTTAGAGCAATACGTTTTTGTGTATAACTTGTAGGATTGAAGTGCTCTTCAAATTCAAAACTGTTTAAATAAACGATAAAACGGTCACGTTTCTTGCTTGATTGATGGATATATTTTGCTAACACAATTAGATAACACGTAGATGATACAGACCCTATGGGACCCGTCTGGTTTTCTCTGCAGTCATGCCATGTAAAACAATCAAATAATTGCACTTGATACAGGTGAAGGTAATATCAAAGGGTCCGCTTCTCACTGTTAATTCCTTTATGCTATATCTTAAATCGCCAGTCATTTTAATTTCCGTCACGATAATTACCGCCTTTTATACCGACATGCATCGGGGAATGTTTCCTTCCTGCGTTAGGTAATCATCAGAATTATGACTTCCTCGTCGCCTGAATCCAATGCCATAGATATTCTTCCAACCTAGATACCAACCGTACATGTATTAAACCGTTGTCCAAACAAAGTTATTTCAGCTTGCCATTCCTATGATGCCGACATTCTAGTTTACACTGACGTCAGTCTAAGTGTTGACCGTTTGTACTTACCAGGGTTGAGACCATCAATGGCACTGCTGTGACCCCAGAAGACTACATTCCTTTCAATGATGAGGTGAAGTTCGCCGCCAAGGACACGTTGGAGCAGATCTTCATAGAAATAGTGGACGATAACGAGTGGGAGCCGGACGAGTTCTTCTTTGTCAAGCTTATCCGTTTTGGGGAGGACGTCCAGGACGCCACTCTGGGAAACATTTCCATTTGTCAAGTGACCATCATCAATGATGACGGTAAGCGTCATACCTTATCCCATCACTGACCTTTGTTTAAAGTCGTGTACCTTAACACCTATTTCTCATATAGATTTGTAGGTCATCAATATAGGTTTGTAGATCATTATCATAGTTTTCCAATAATTTTAACTCGATTATTTAACAATTATACATGATGTATATGGAAATAGAAGTCTTAAACAATATTGGCTTTCTTGGTTTAAACCTTAACCGCTTCTGTCGTGCTTGACCATGTCAAACTTATCCGTAATGTGTAATGGTAGAATATCTTATTTACTTCTACTATGTCAGATAGTTTTGTTTGGCACACTAAGCTATACTCCATTAAACATACAATTACAGAGCCTGGCAAACTGGAGTTTGCAAAGCCAACCATCATCGCTACAGACTGTAACAGGCGCGTGCGTATCCCGGTCCAAAGAGTGAACGGTGCTGATGGTCACGTGTCGGTTAAGTGGCAGACCAAGGACATTACGGCTATCAGTGGCAAGGATTTCCAGGGAGGTAGTGGAGAGCTCCTGTTCGACCATGGGGAGACAAATCGTACCATCGACGTACCGATTCTGGACAGTATGGTAATTAACACATAACTGTATCTAATAGTGACATGTAACTGTATTTAACGGTGGCTTATATACTCAACCAGCTTAAACGTAATCAAGAAAATAACGGTTTTCTAAGGGTTAAATAAAATCATCGGCATATGTCAATAACTCCGTTTTTTCAGAAACCGGAACGTGACGAGAGTTTCCAGGTGGAACTAACAGTGTGTGATGGTGGTGCTGTTTTGGGGAAGATTTCAAAATGTATTATTACAATAGTCAGTGATGAAGGTAAGTACTTCCTTATTTCGCTTCCTTGAAGCTGTAGTGAGCTTTCAGCATTACTTATAGAAGGTATGTAACATAAATGAAATGTATCCTGATGAATGAGGTATGTCAGTGTGTATAACAGGTCTGACATTATCCAGTCTAGATACATGTAAGGGGTGTGTATAACAGGTCCGTCATTATCCAGTCTAGATACATGTAAGGGGTGTGTATAACAGGTCTGTCATTGTTCAGTCTAGATACATGTTAGGGGTGTGTATAACAGGTCCGTCATTATTCAGTCTAGATACATGTAAGGGGTGTGTATTACAGGTCTGTCATTATCCAGTCTAGATAAATGTAAGGTGTGTGTATAACAGGTCCGTCATTATCCAGTCTAGATACATGTAAGGGGTGTGTATTACAGGTCTGTCATTATCCAGTCTAGATACATGTAACGGGTGTGTATAACAGGTCTGTCATTATCCAGTCTAGATAAATGTAAGGGGTGTGTATAACAGGTCCGTCATTATCCAGTCTTGACACATGTAAGGGGTGTGTATAACAGGTCTGTCATTGTTCAGTCTAGATACATGTTAGGGGTGTGTATAACAGGTCCGTCATTATTCAGTCTAGATACATGTTAGGGGTGTGTATAACAGGTCCGCAATTATTCAGTCTAGATTCATGTAAAGGGTGAGTATAACAGGTCTGTCATTATCCAGTCTAGATACATGTAAGGGGTGTGTATAACAGGTCTGTCATTAT